GAATCGCGGCGAATTTAATTTTCTCGTTCGGTTTCTTTTCTTCGGCGAAGTCGGGAAATTGAATGAGCGCTCTCGAATGAGATTACGAACTTTTACATTAAATTACGAACTTCTAATCAGCTACAGGTTAACAATTATCGGCGAAGAACAAACGGAAATCGACGGAAAAACAAACCGCATGTAGAAAAAAAAAGAAAAAAACTAAAATTCTTTCACCGACTTCTTACATTTTAGTTGGTTTGTTTTTATTGTTCGTGCAATCTTTGTTTTTCACCGAGATGAGAATTCGTATGTTATCTCTTGGCCGTGGTCAAACTTGGAAATGAGCTTGCGTTACTTCACGTACGGCATTGACATCATGTGCAATCGTGTACAGCACGTGATGCGCTTTGCTTTTGCCGTACATTGCGATTACATTTGCACAGGCGACCACACTTCCGTAAAGGTACACGCGATAATCAGAATATACCAATCGGAGATGGAACGCAAATGAAACGAGGCCACTCTACTAGACACTAGTTGCATATCAAAAGCACGCACATAGATAAATCTACCTTGAAACTGCCTGTCGTTTGCACTACTACGCGCAATCCTAGGGCGACAGACGGTCGTATATTCTCTTTTTGATATTTTTAAATATTACAAAATCTCTAGAACACAAAAAAATATTCTATTTGCTTAGTTTTCAATTTCAAACAACAATGTATCGAGAAACATTTCGCAAATTGTTCTAATTTCTACATTTTTTTATATACATATTTGCGAATATTTATTGCAGAATGTACAATTGATCAAAATCAAATTATATCAATTAAACAAAATTCAGAAATTTGAACGAGTGAAATTATTCGAATAATTTCGCGCGTGGTATTGTTAAGCACGAGGATAACAATAAATTTTTCATACAAAAGCGTGTGCAAAACAAACGATAAATCTTAGTCAAATTAAATATAAGCTATTCTTTCAGATAAAATTAATAAAGATTCACGCTTTTCCGACGTCTTGACAGTATGATTTGTCTTTCGCTCGCATCATTAATTTAATTTTTTGTTGTAACAGAAAAGAAACGAAATTGAATTAAAAAATATTGATCGCGCGGAGAAATTACAAAAATTTAAAACTCACATTTTGGTTGTAATTTTAATCATCATCAGCTTAAAAAATAGAAATAATAAAAGTTTTAAATTTATAAAAAAGTATAGAGAGAAAATGTATTTTATGTACGATGAAAATTGAAATACTGATCCTATCTCAAACATCATAAATTATTAGAAAAAGACAAGAAAATTTTCGCGATCAGAAAGAGATATTCGCAAATTATACGAGACGGTAAATCATAATAAAGTGTCACATTTTATCTCTTCTTATCTAACGTAACTGTTTTACAGAAAGCGACCGAATATGGTCTGATAATTGAGTCCGGGAAATTGGAAAGAAAGCAATTTTAACCGCGCAATAAAGCGGAAAATGAAAATGTGCTATTATTCGCGATACAAGAGAGAGAGATGTCACGTCTCTTCTCTTTTTCTGTCATGTTTGAAAATAATTTACAAGAATATTTGATGGAAGATAACATGTACGTTAGAAAGAAAGCGGGAGTATGCAAATTTTAAGAGATTCGCAGAATTTTGTGTAAATAATTCGAAATATTAATAAAGCTACAATATCTATACCTTTAGTTTCGATCTTGAGTAGAAAATCGAGCGTATTTAGTATTTTATGCGGATTGCGAATGGAGAAAACTTTAATCACAATCTATGTGTAATATAACTTCCCCTTCTTTAACGATTTCATATGTGATGTACGCAAGTATTGATTTTTTTCTCATGTCATGGTTTTGCTTTTTTGCCCTTTTCTTTGATAAGAAAATTATTCCGATAAGAGAACATATTTTCCTTACAAAGGAATTAATTTATTTTTCATTTCTATAGTAAATCTAATATAAATTGCACGAAATCATAAAAATTGGTATTCAAGAGAGAGCGACGGTGTGTATAATTTAAAAAGAGATAAATTAATTAAAAATACTCAATTATATACAACATTTTGCGCGAGGAATTTATGATGTGTTGTGTTTTATTATAAAACGCGATAAAATACAGCTTAGATAAACAAGTTGTGAATGACGGAACAATATATATTGATATATTGTTTTTTAAAAAAAGATTCTCGCGTTGTGCTTTCAAAACGTTCGCGTTTCATAACGATATGTATGACGTGCGGAGTAAAGCGCAGGTTAACCGATGGAACACAACAACGAAAACGCCGGCAACCATATAAAGCAATCATATTTGATGTCTGTGAAATGCATAATTTGTTCCACACGAAGTGTGTGTTTCCTGCCACGATTTCATGTTTTACACACGAGACATATCTCGCAATATTGAACGCATCAATTATGAAATGACCATTCGCCGGAAAGACTTTTACATATAATTCAGAATATTGCTTTTCTCGTCTCTCATTCTTCCTGACAAAAGTGATCTCCCATTACGGAAATTGTTCCGCGTAATTTAAATATAAAATTTAATTTAATTTTACATTTATACAATTAACAAGCAAATACGGTAGAACTTCGATAACTCGAATCTCAAGGGAAGAGCTAAAATCTTCGAGTTGTAGAGGTTTCGACTCTTATCGAAGTTCCCTTTTCCTTTCCGCGAAGCGGAAGGGAATGAACAAAATTTTCGTCTCTTACAGAGGTTTTCGAGTTATCGAGATTCGAGTTATCGAGATTTGATTACTGTGTTTAAAGGTGAGATAAGATTCGTCGCGTTCACTTTTAAATCTGAGTTAATTTTATACGCGCGCACAAATTTTTTATACGTACATATTTTATTACATCACGAATATGCGAAGAACGACATTAACAAATCATTTTTTTACGCGCGTAAAATATTACCGTAACACTTACTTCTGATGTGCGATTACACTTCATATATAAAGTTTCTTTTATACTTATACTGTCGGAAAGAAAGCGGAGAAATTGTCGTTTCTCACGCTAAGACTGCTTTCTTACTTCTAATACGAACTTTTATGCGTTCGAAGTTCATACGCTTGCCTCGTAAATATCGAATTTACGGCAATATGTATTTACAGCAGTTTTATAAACATTTGTAGATCAATTTCGTCAAATTGGCAACAAAAATGTTACGGATCGTACATTTCTTCAAGTTTTTGTGATAAATTTTAAATTAGATTGCTCTCTGTCTGTCTCTCTCTTTCTCTTTCTCCCTCCAGTTTTGAGTCGCTCGAGAACTCAATGCTCATTAGCGCGCATTTTCATCAATGTAATATTTTTGTTGTATATGCACGTGTGCGTATACGTGTGCATAATTCGGGATTAAGTAGCATTATGCAGTATTAATGTTACATATAATAACACACAGAAATATATAACAAACGAGTAACAATTCCCCTTTCTCTCTGCACGTGGATTCAATGAGCAAACAGCGATTCTAGATATGATACCATATAAGCGAATCGCACACAATATATCAATGATCGAATATTGTTTATTGTTGCAGTGCTGTTGAAGTTCTTCTCATCGCGTTAAGCTGTATAAAAATTTACTGCGGATTCAGAATATTGAAAATTAAAAGACGCATAATATATTATATTAATACAACGCGTTGTGTATAATATTGTTATTTTTCAAGATAATTTAATTTCCCCACGTGTTTGTTATTATCGCGCGGTAATAGATATTTAAATATTGTATCTGTGACAAAATAAACACAGCGTAATTTGCTAATTCAATATTAGATCTATCGACGTGCATACATATACGCGACGTATTAATTTAACAATATATTAAACGTTCACAAATATTGCCAGTGCTTTTAATACAAAACCAACCGCACGCGATAAAAAGACCGAATCGAGATCTATTTTTAATTTATGCAATTTAATACTTCATTCTCTTATATTTGTCTTGTGACACACTCGCGTATGTTACATCCCAAGAAACAATAAAAACATATCAAATATAAGATTACGCATACGTGATCGGATCGCGTCAAATTTTCCATCTGATCTTATTATAAGATTATACATGATCTTGCACATATGCTATCTAGTTTTTCTCAGAAAATTATATTCTCTATTTTTTCTCAGAAAATTACGTATATTTTTATTACGAATTCGGTGATGTATTTGCGAAGGGAGGAGGATTATCTAAGAAGAAGCTGAAATAACGAGTTTTTTCAGATCTCGTATAAAAATATTGAAAAAGGGAGAAGAATTGCTTTCTTTATAGAAGGATATAATATAATTCGACGACCGTACGATTTAGATGGTAATATTCTGTAAAATTCATCCGTATAGAAAATTGTATGGTTTTTTTTGTTTTCGCAATTATAGAATTTTATCGCGCGCAGTTGGAAATTATATTGGTATATAATTGTACGTTATAAATAAAATTTTAAAAATCATCACCTGCCAAAATTAAAATATTAAATTAAGAAACACGAGATATTTGCACGAGATAGAATTGCAAATTCGACGACTACAATAAATATAAAAGAGAAGGCTAAAATTCACGGAAATAATACTGTGAGAAGTTCAAATATATTCAATAAAACCGGCAAATATTGCATACGAATGTTAACACTTAGAGTTAATATATTTTCATGTGTGTACACGTCTATATATAAAATATCCCGAACAAAAATCAAAATGTTCGAAAAATATGAATATAATAAAATACAATATCCAAAAATATAATAATGAGCAGAGGTTTCATGTACCTAGCAAAAAAAAGCGGTTATAATTACACGTTTGCGTTTAATAATAACTGTGTAACGATGAATAATAGAAATAAAATAATAGATAAAAACTAAAATTTGAATCAAAATAGGCGGTGAAATAATACGCGAGAAGGAAAGGATACAACAAATTTTCGCAAGAATTGGAAGTTAGGTACGTCTTCTCAAACAATTGCGCGACTGATTATCGCACTTTTAACAAGATTGACGCTAGTTGGTTAATGTCGGACTCACCTAACATGACGTAGCACGTGTTGAAGAAACTCGTTCCGAGAATAACACTGAGCAGCCCTAAAATACCCTGCGGCATTTCGGTTACGAGGAACAGCAGCAGCACCGCCAGCAACATCATTGTGGTCCTGTCAGTCTGTCGTTCCTTATCGGCGCCCTTCCGTCTCTTCTTGGGTTTCTCGCAGGCGTGTTCCTTACCGTTGCCCATCTTAATCGCGATGTTCTTCGTGGTTAGCTTCTTTCGTCTCTTTTTCGCTTCCAACAGCACCATCACCAGCTTGATGCTCAACATCGTCAAAGCCGCGCAAGGTATCAGCTTGATCACCACACTGTAGATCCAGAAATTGATATCTTTAAGTAGGTCACTCATCTCGACGAGTTTCACGAAGTACAGGGTGGTATTGGTTGCGCCCTCGAGCATCGTGCCATTGGTCATTCCGGTCAGATTGACGCTCATCCCCCGCTTGTTGAGCATTTCAACTCGCGGTCTCACTTCGGTGGTAATGTACAGCGGCACGCATAATATAGGACAGCAAATATAAGCGAAGAGAATCACCAGAATTGTGCGCTTGTCGCTGCACCACTCGTGATTTCTCTGCGGATAAGCAACGGCGATATATCGCCAGATCGCCAAGGTCACCGTCAGACAGATCGAGATCGTGTGACACACCTGGCCGAAGTTCGAGTGAAACAGCACGAACACGCTCCAGCCGTAGGTGAAGGTGTCTCTGCGAGATCGTTTGTAAAGATACATGTGAATCGCGTAGGGAATGTACTCGATCATAACGAGCAGATCGGCCACAGCCAGGCCGGTGAGAATCATATTGGTTGGCGATCGCATCTCCCGGCGTGTCAGCACCGCGATATTCAGGAAATTGGCAATCGAGCCAAATATGCATACCAGCAAACTGGCCCAGCCGTGCAACTGACTATACCAGCTATGAAACGAATCCAAATGGCACTCGTATCCTGTGAGCGTTGCCACGGGCAACGTTGTCGTGAGATTCAGACTAGAATTCATCTTTGCGCGAAAAGAGAGAGAAAGAGAGAGAGAGAAAAAAAAACACTCGGAAGTAAAAAAAAACGGAATAACACTTGTTATATATATAACGGAGGATTAACGAAACGCTTTTTCTTCCGACCGGATCATTACTCCGCGCGCGGAGTAATTCGTTTCATCGTTTTGCCAGCACGTTTCGGCAAGACTAGAACTCTCGCGAACAACATCATCGAGTTTTTGCCAAAAAAAAAAGGATTTAGAGAATTTTCTATTCTAACAATTAATTAATTCAAATATGGGAATATAACGACTAACGAAGATATCGAATACATCAATTGTCATATCTCGGTGAAAATGTTCTCGGCTACTTCTCGAGAACTTCAATTCGCAACACTTGGCACACCTCGGCGTAAACCGGAAGACGGTTTTTTTTTTTTTTTTTTGTTCTTTCGATCTTAAACAATTCAGATCAGACGTTGTGCGACAACGAAAAGTATCGCTTCAAAGCCACTTACGAGTTTGATCGACTATACTTTCGGTGTTAGAAAACAAAAACAAAAAAAAAAAAAAGAAACATTCATTGATTCAACGCCCAGACAGCGTGGCAACTTTTCTCTCAATTCCTTGAACTGGAAATTGCACGGTAACTTCGAAGCGATTCGTTTCTCGTACACGCGGTGCGATCGGGAAGAGACGTACACGATGTACTTCGTCACGCGGTCAGATATATCATTTCTTCGATCCAAATAAAAAAAAATTCATAAGATAAATGTATTGTCGGAGGGAGAAAATACGTTTCACGTGTTGCTCTCTTGTCAATGGAAAAGCGCGAAAAAAAAAATTGTTGGAAAATTTTTAACGCGCGTATCCGAGCGACAATTTAACGTTTCCCGAAACACACACTGCGAGACCCACAATATATACGGGTTGACATCGGTTTTATACGTGTGTGCGGTGTTCCGAAGCTTACGTTTCAATACTCGACACGTACACGAGCCGATGTTGTGCGTTAACAACGAAAAATTTACGCGACAAGCGCATTTATAGCTTCGAAAAAACTTTACTGTTTGTTGCAAATTGTTTTTTTTTTTTATTATTATTAAATTATTTGAATAATCTATATATATATAGATATTTTAACACTAACAATAATTAACGTATTGTCATTAGAACAAGCAGAGAGATAAAATGATTTTTTAAATTTTTTTTCGAAAAGTATAACCGCATCGAAATCGCGCGACTTCCCACGAAGATTTGATGATGAGATTTGCCGACTTCTTCTTCTTGTTTCGCGTGCGGAACTTGACAATGTCGTGTGACTCATGCGGCCAGTGACACGTGTACGGGCACGGTACGTTTCAGTTTTTCTCCGCTCTCTCGTGGCTGCCGCACCCTAAATGTGACGCTCTGATGTGAATCTCCGGTAATGTCTTAAAAATCACTTTTCTACACACAACGTTACGAAAACACGAAACGTTGCATTATTATTGTCAAAATACGTTTTCCGTACGAAGATTCGCACAAAAACAAAATCTGTTTTTGACGTTTCACTTTTCCGGCGCTGATCGAATCACCTCCGTGTTGTCTTCACTTGTTAATCGATCGTTTACCGAGACGGAACTCTTGATCCCGACGGTGTTGCGGCTAAATTTACATCGGTCTGTTTAACTCGGAATTAACGTTTTTTTTTTTTTTTTTTATATTTGTCTCTCTCGAAGCGTGATTTTAATTCCGTCGCCGATAATTGTACGACTCTTCATCTGGGATACTTCCGTGAGTATTTTGCAAAATGTTTTTGTTTTTATCAACACACAGCTGTCTAACGCCAAGCGGAAGCGCGAGGAGTGTCGTCGCGTCGCGTCGCGTCGCGACGAGATCTCGTAGACGTGATAAGTTGGCGTTCGAGAGCCGAATGCGCGAAAGAGAGGCGTCGCGACGCTTCGTATGCGCTGGAACAGCGCAGCTCGCGCCTGCGTTATCCAGTTTCTCCATTCAGTGTGTCTCCTCTTCTCTATGCGGTCCTTCTTCTCTCTCATTTCGCGCGTTTGTCTCTTCTCTCTTCCCATCTGTCCGGCGGTGTCCTTTCTCGTTCATCAAAGCAATTCTTTCCATCTTCGCAGCGAAAGCATGAACGAGATCGGCTATCGGGAATAATTTAGAAGTCATGAGTGTGTGCCAAAGAGATTGTAAACTTCGAGAACTCAAAATCTCTTTTGCGAAGGAAGTATATGTATATATACGTAGCGATTGTATACAGGATGTGTGGAGTAAATTATTCACCACATCTCCGCGCTGAGAGATTTATATATATAGAAGATCATAATTTCGATTTTATGTGACGATACACATATGCTTTGTCACGTGCGAGTAACGAACTTTGTACAAAGTTGTGAACTTGTGTGACAAAACATATATTGTTTCAATAATTTAATACAGTAGAGACTCCCGAATCTCTTCATTATTCGAATAATCCTAATATCCAAACATTCTGTTATCCGAACAACGTTTCGTACATATAGCGATGTTTATATTCAATATATTTACATGTATGTTTGGATGATAGAATGCTCGGATATTAGGATTATTCGGATAACGGGGGTTCGGATACGGAAGTTTCTACTGTAATTATCGCTGAGAGAGAAAGAGAGAGAACAAATGAACAAATGTGTGCAGCTTTATTTTTACGCTCTGAGAAGCTTCCCCTTAAGTGCATGAATAACAAAATTAATATATAAAAATGTGAAGTGAACTGCTTCAAATAATATAATTCAGGAATTCAAAAATTGGCAGTATGGAGCAAACACAGTTGTTAGTGTGTGTGATGTAATTAATTTATTGATTAACAAAACGTTTTTGACCTTAGATTAGGTATTTCTCAATGTTTTTAGTATATGATAAATTAGTTGAGTTAGATGTACAGCTCACAATTGCATATTATTATTAAACGGAAAACAACCACAGCTTTTGACATGGTATTGCAATTGAAAAGTTTGGGACCCTGATTGGGTCTTTCTCAATGTTTTTAGTATATGATAAATTAGTAACTGAAAAGTTGCGATACCATATCAAAAGCTGTGGTTGTTTTCCGTTTAATATAATATGCAGTTGTGAGTTGTACATCTAACTCAACTAATTTATCATACACTAAAAACATTGAGAAAGACCCAATCTAAGGTCGAAAACGTTTTGTTACTCAATAAATTAATTACATCACACACACTAACAACTGTGTTTGCTCCATACTGCCAATTTTTGAATTCCTGAATTAAAATTAATATATATGTATTAATATATAATATATATAAATATATATATATTAATATTTTATATATATTAATATATATTATATATTAATATATGTATATATATATTTATATTTATATATAAATACACAAGATAAAGTAGGTATGTGCCAAAAAGAATAAAGTGAACAAAAAAATTAAAAAATTTAAAAAAATACAAAAAAAAAGTAAAAAAATGAGTGAGTGCTAAAGTGAAAAGTAAAAAGAAATAGCAAAAGTAACAATACAATTAGGTAAAAAAAGAAAAATTAAAATAACCAAGAGAGAGAAACCGGAAGAGAAACTTCACGGTGGATATACCTATAAATAGAGCTCGTTTTTATTTTTAACTTGCGTAACATTTTTTACACGCGCAACGCACATTTTTACTTCCAACGTCAACTTTTTTTTCTTGTGTGTGAAAGTACCCAAGAAAGATTATGTAAAACATTATTCTGATCAAAGCGTCGTTACTACTTTAACAGTTGTGTGATTGAAGATCAAACTGTCTTCACTGCGCTTATAAAAAATGTGGTTTATAATCGAATCGCTAACGTTACATAGATATAATCCGCGATCTCGGGAATAAAAGAAAAAACGAGCGTGAACTTCGCGCGAGAGAGATTCGAATTACAACTCGAAAGAGACCATTAGAATGTCAGAGTACGTTACCGAGGCGTGTTCGTCTATGCGAGTTGCAAGTGAGAGAGAAAGAGAGAGAGAATCCGTCTCTGAAATCGTTTTTGCGTCAAAGTGAAACGCGCTTCGTTCTTATTCTTTCTGGTTGTCACTTTTGCCCATTTTTCTTTTGCGCCTCGTCTTTCACCCGGTTTTTCCTCAGGTGTCTGACAGGTCGCGATTCTCGTTAAAGCGTTTCAGGTCGCCAAAGTGTCTTCTCCCTTGGCGTCACGTCTGTGTGCGCCCGATATAAGCTTCCGGTATCCCGGCGATATGATTCCTTCGACATGGCTTTGACGTAGCTACGCAATCTCCGCGAGGATTGCTCTTTTTTTTTTTCGCGATTGCGCGCGCGTCCTTTATCTCAGATTAAAAGCCTATTTGTACAGTAGTCGTTTTTCGCATTTGTTTCATATTTCCTGGCCGGGATAACAAGAAAAAAATTTGTCACCATGTTTTTGTGCGCGACAAATGTAACAATTTGCGCATTGTCGCGCCGTGTCGTTCTCGTTCGTTATCTTGATTACCGATTCCTTTCGAAGCGTCCGATAGTTTTCCGAATTTTTTTTATTTTCGAAAAACCATTCTGCGAGAACGTGAAATTTTACGAGAACAGAGTCACAATATCCTTTTCTTTCTACTCTTTTTTTAAAATTCTTTTTTATATTTCTAGCGCTTTGGAGAAAAAAAGAGAGAAATTAATTGCGTTTTCTTCGTCGTTAAAATTTCTAGAAATAAATCTTTGTGTTTTGTGATAATATAACGCGATAATATAATATATCGCGACCATATTTGGTACCAAACGATGAATCTTTCTTCTTATTATTCTCGCTTGCGAAATGCCAGTCATTGCGCAATATCTCTTAACGCGCGACAGTAACAATCATTTCGCACGTATGTAAAGCAATTTGTAATCATATATTGCAGCATTAATTTCCGATATATATATATATATATATATACACATATGTATATACTGCAAACGTTCTCGTTCTTCAGAAACCTTCACAGATATCAGCATGTCGGTTCTTCGTATACGCGCGAATATCGCGCTATTCACAATGTGCGTAACTGGAAAACAGAGCGATGTGTTACCATTTCCGATTGAAAATGTAAAGTTTCCATCGAAGTCGCATCTCCGCTCGAAACCGCTCGTCGAAATTATCTCGTCGAAATTATCTCGTCGAAATACACACTAGACTAGTTTAATCTCAATAAATTCAAATCTAATCCCTCCTTCTTGTTGTATAGCCGCGATGAATTTCCACTGTAATCTTCAAAATAGGAAGTAAAGTGACTGTGGGACGGAATGTATAGCGATCAAGAAACTACTCGCTTAAGTAAAGAAAGTAATTCATGAAACAGATAATGTACAAGCTGATAAACGATAAGTGCGCCAGAACTTTTTGCGAAACTTTTTTTTTTTTTTTATTCACACACTATTCTTATCTGATCAATCGAATTACTGATACTTTGAATTTTTTAATAA